TGATCAATGACCTTGTAGTTTCTAACGATCAATTTGATGGGGATATGATGAAATATGCGGACGATATTAATATTTCAGAATACATCACCGATCAGGCAGAAAACAGTTCTCTGCAAGAAGTAACTAACTCTATTGTTGACTGGTCTGAAAGAAATAAATTCCAGCTTAATCCATCAAAATGTAAAGAATTTGTTGTGTCTTTTAAACGGAATGAACCAAATTTCCCCCCCCCCCATCAGTATTAATCAATCACAAATCGAACGAGCTGACAAAATATCGATTCTTGGTTTAACAATCACAAAGGAATGAAATGGAACGATCACGTGGAAAAAATAGTCAAAAAGGCATCCCAGCGAATTTACCTGTTGAAACAGCTCAGAAGGTTTGGACTTGATGCTGGTGATCTCAAGTGCTTCTATATGTCGCTTCAATAAGATCAATACTGGAATATTCATGCCAAGTTTTTCATTATGGCTTGCCACAATACCTATCTGATGTTATTGAAAGGATTCAAAAGAGAGCACTGCGCATAATTTATCCTCAACTGTCCTACCAGGATGCTCTAGACATGTTAGAATTAAAGACCTTATCTACACGCAGGGGTGATTTATGTAAGAAACTTTTTAACTCGATTCTGGACAATGAGGACCATAAGCTTCACAACTTACTGCCACCTAAGGTGACATCCGATACATATAATTTTAGGAACGAAAAACTTTTTAATATTCCAAAATATCGCACTAATAGATATAGAGATACTTTTATAATATCTAGTCTAATAAACTCGTAAAAATTGGTATTTTATAATACAGAACTAATAGTTAAGAGATACTTTTTATAATATTAAATTAGGAATTTTTGTAATTGTTTTAAACACTTTGTATAAGAATCACGTAATTCAGCTCTATGCATGGCTGCTAGGTGTTTTTTAATAAACAGATTATCTATCTATCTATCTATCCTATGCAAAATTTTTGCCCTTTCCGCCATGGCTCCGCACCACTCTGCGTTCGCGTACTGCGTGTAGCCAGTCTGACCAGATTTTTTCAGCAGTCATTACCAAAATTGTTTTCAAATTTTACTTAAATTAAGAAAAATTTTACCCAATGTGGGCTTCCCAAATAATTACATCATTACAATGCCAAAATGACAATAGTTACGTTATCAAAGTATAGACAAAGTAATAGGCTTGGCAGTTCTGTACCAACCTCGTCCCCAGTGGCGCCACCACGAAGAAGACCTTGGGGACTAGGTTGGTTCAATGGTTCTGTACATTGCTTTGGGCACGTTATTAACAAGAAACACACATTTTTTTCAAAATGATTATAATAATTAAAACCTTTAAGATTTTACAAAATTTTTCCAACAAAACCCCTTTCAAAAACAAATTTCTTGAATATTCACGAAATTTTACTAAAATTAAAACTTGCCAACCTGCAAACAGGCATGCTCTGAGACGAGATTAGAGTTAATTTCAGCCACGCCCAAATTTATACGACAGGTTGTATGATTGGCATATTGCTTCTGCAACCGACAACTGTTTATAGCCTCGTGGAGTCGTGGTCGTATAAAAAGCTAAAGAGACGCTGCTAAAACGAAATTATTGTATTTACAAAGAAAAGAGACGCTATGCAACACGATAAGTTTGTTTTAAAATTATGTAAATTAAATTGTACATCACAAATGCACAACGAGGTATAAGCAGCAATATTCATTCATTTCAGCTTTGTACAAAGTACAGACTGTTTAGATCTATAGAACAGCCAAGGAAGTATTTGAATCTGGCGTGTTATTAGATATTTTTAATAGAGACGTACCGAATTTTATATAGAGAGGTGTCCGTATTTTTAAACGGGCGTTTCGTCTGTATATATATATATATATATATATAATATAATATAATATAATATAATATATATGTATATATATATATAGGTGCAATATGCTGTCCAACTGTATATTCCCCTGACATGACCTTCTTCTTCATTTCCTCTTTGACACTGCTAATGGTTTGGGGAGTTGCAACTGTTATCTCTCCTCCTGCACCCTCAGCTTTTTTCTTCTTATTCTCTCACCAGTCTGCTCACATGGCCTTTTAAATCTGGATACATTGACTCCAACTGATTTAAGCCATTCTTCTGCCACCTGTCCACCATTTTTTTGCAATTTCTCCCTTGGTATTTCTTATGGAGTACCTTCGAGCCATATCTGACCAGTTGACCTTAGTATCATCTGGGTAGCTTTCAACTTCTTCCTTCATTCTCTCCTTGTCCCAAGTTACATTGGACAATTTTCCAACTGGACTTCTTTTTTTGGAACCAGTTGATGCCGATCTTTGTTTTGCTGTCTCTTTGCTTTCGAAGGCCATGGCAAGGCGCGATCGTTGTGTTGCTGCCAGTGATTGACGGTTACCATAACACCTGGGAAATAATTTTGTGTTTACTATTTTATTAAAATAGTACACCAGACGAGTACATTTTAATAGTACAATCTGTCATGTAATCACATTATGCTGTCTGATTTATTGCACTGGTCTGCTAGATCTTAATTCTTAGACCCATGGTTAAAAACAGCTAGTGTCAGAATCACTACCTAGCTACTAGATCAGCCCGAATGCCTGAATTTGAGCTGTTAATCTGCATGGTTGGCCCATGAATTGAAAATAGGAAATAAAAGTACATGTGCCAGTCACTTGAATCCCGCCCTCCCACCTGGGCATGCCCAGATTACCAGGGACAATCAACTCCTAATTTTCATTGGTAGGAAGTGAATAGCCCCAAGGTGGGGGGGGGGGGTCTGTGGTTTTGAAATGACTGGTGCAATATATGGGTCCCACATAATATTAGTCACTTACATAGTGTTGTAATGTTTGTGTGCACTAATTAACATGATTATGATGTACCTCATTACTGATGTATTCATCCAGTGTTGTTCTAAATTTTCTTTTGCTTTCTTTAAACAATTTCTCCTTTCTCTTTTTTTGTCAGCTTTGGTCGTTTTAGTTTCTATTTTGAATTGGTCCAGCGTTGCGAATGCCTTCTCCAAGGAAACATTGTAGGTTTTTTCAAAAACTGGATTCAGTCTGTCGTATATTTCTTGGGCACCATGTTTATATTCTCGACGAGTGCACTTTACTGGCTTTGCGTGTATATTGGATGAGATTTCTTGAGCAACAACCGTTGGGTTATCCTTTAAACAAGACTTAAATTGCTTGGCTGCTACAGGGAAGAAAGACTGGACGGCCGAATATTTATGAAAGCAACCTCGACAGTTCATCAAGCTATGTTCGTCTTTCGCTTGTAGTGACAGTTTATCCCAGGTATCTGTTGAAAATGCTTCTAAATATTGCTCACGTTCTTGCGCTTTACGGGAGTTCCAAGTACTAAATTTCTTACGAAGTTCTGGCAATTTTCGGTTAAAAGACTTGAAATCGACTGAAAATCTGCTTCCAGTATTACTGAACATAGATGAAAACCGATTGTAAATCTCCTGTACAACGCGCGTGTGATGGCTCTTTGGTGTTTCGTTCTCACTGCGTTTAACTTTAGTAGTAACCGCTCTTGTGATCTGCCAAGCTGCTGTTTTAGCAAATCCGCAAGTGTGCGGGTGAATGAGACATATAACCATGATTATAAAGTACAAAACTTTCGCGAATGAAATCATTTATAGTTAGCGCATTTGCTACCGCACTCTCGATATCGAAGAGAAATTTGAATCTGGCGCCAAGATTTTGATCTCGCGCATTATACTAACAGGATATTACCTCATGAAACTAAACGCAGATCAAGGTTGACAGTGTAATATTACATTAATTTTGTCTAAAAAGTATAAGATATTAAAATTATATGAGTTGCTAACACTAAAATGCAGTTTGGTACTATAAAGCTAATGTAATTTGGTAGCATGTTTACAAGCGTGTATTTCACCGTGTATTATACTTTACTTATGTCTAGAACTGAATAATATAATCCAAATTGGTTATAAGTGTCTCATAAAATTAAACTTGTAACTTTCTAGAACTCAATAATCGCCGAAATTGGATTGAAAGGGGAAATATTTCATATCGAACTGCCACGATTGTTTTTATCGCCATTTTGCGCGTCGGTAGTTGCCATGACATTGGGTATTCCGCTGAGGCAAGTACTTCGGCTCAAGCGTCAAAAATGGCGATACAAATAAAAATATTTTGCCTCAAATTGTTGATTTTCAACTGCTTCGCCAGGGCATTTTTTTTAGTCGATTGGTAATTCTAATGAGTGATATAGTGACATGATGTGTTCAACTTTGCTGTTTAGTCTTGTATTGTTGTATATGCTCTTCGCAAATTGTTTTAAATCGACTTAGTTCAGTGAATCACGGCGCAAGCAAGTTTCTTCGCTATTTATTGTCACAACTAGTAATATAATTCCAACTTTCCAACACAGGGCATATTAAAACAAGTTTATATCTCGCTACTTGTGTTGTCAGATTGCTGCAGGAGAACGTTAATCCTACCCGGCAGAGCACATTTGTATTATTATCGGTATATATTGCATCATATCAAGTCACATGACTTCCGGTTCACAAGTTGGCATCTCTAAAAAAAATTTTAAAGTTGTACTAACAACATTAACTTATAAAACATCCACTCAAGTGCAATAAGAATATTTAAATGATTTTTCTTTTATTTAATTTTATTGATGTAATTGGACCCAGGCATTAATACACCTGAGCAGAACATAGTACCTCTTTTTTCCCATATTGTAAGGGGGTACGTCAAGGATGTATTATAAGTCCTATGTTATTTAACATATACCTAAACGACATACCATCATTGCTTGATAACAAAGATTCTGACTCACTCACAATCCCAAATGGTACAAAACTGAATTGTCAGTTATATGCCGATGATCTGATATTATTTAGATTGAAAATTGACCTCCAAAGCTGTTTAAACCAGTTAAACAACTAGTTGGTGCAATAAGTGGATGATGGAGGTTAATTTAAAGAAAACTAAAGTTATGATTTTCCAGAAACCAATGTCAAAACAACAAACTCCACAATTTCTATTTGCAAACAAAATACTTCAAGTAACACAAGATTACAACTATTTAGGTCTTAAACTTACAACCAATGGGAAATTTACCATAGCAATGAAACAACTTGCTGATAAAGCAAAACATGCTATGTTCAGCACAAAGAAAAAAGTTGATTTTCACTCACTGAATCCAAAACTAGCAATCAAAATTTTTGACAGTATTATCTCGCCAATACTTCTATATAATTCAGAAGTATGGGGTACATTCATTAATAGCGACCCCAATAAATGGGATCATGCAATCCGAAACAGAAAAAGTTCATTCCAGATTCTGCAAACTATACTTAGGAGTTAATAGAAAAGCAACAGATGTAGCATGTAGAGGTGAATTAGGAAAATTTCCTTTATTAATAACCATACACAAAAGAATAATCAAATACCTTGCACACATTAATACCCTTCCTGACTTCACTATTGTGAAACAAGCATTCCTAATCTCCAAAGAACTTTATGAACTGAATAAACCCAGCTTTTACTCCAATGTCACGAAGTAAACTAACGTAAATGATGAACTAAATGAATTAGAATCTATTACTATTCATCAACAAAGTCAATTTATAAGCAATGCTAAAAATAAATATGTCACCTTTTGGAAACATAAGTTAGACAATTCCTCCAAACTCTCTTTCTACAGCACATTTAAATCTGAATATAAGTTGGAGGACTACCTTACAACTATAAGAAACTCATCTCAAAGAAAAGCAGTAACTAAATTTCGAATAAGTTGTCATAAGTTACAGATTGAATACGGTCGATATCACAACATCCCCCGTGAACAACGCTTATGTAATCTCTGTGATACAAACGAAATTGAAGATGAATATCACTTTGCACTATCTTGTAACTACTACAGACAAGACAGAAACACCACAAACAATATATTACAAAGACAATGCAATGAAACACTCAACTACCAAAAAAAAGATAACCTCGTGAATGTGATAAAATCTAATGATCCGAAAGTACTGAATTTGTTTTCCAAAATATATTAAAGTTAGTTTTGAAAAACGGAATCAGTACTTTGAAGCCAGAAATACAAATAATACCTAAAACAAATTGTATAAAAAAATTTTTTTTTAAATCCTTAACCGATATAGACACTACATATTAAATTAAAACCCTGAAATAGTAATATATCTTGTAACCTTAAATATTCTCATAGTGATCACCAATATGTAAATAATATAAAGTTAAAAAATATGTTATTATTAGTTAGTTATGAACGTTAATAGTTATATTGATGGAACTACAGTACTTTAGCAATATCTTGCAATTATAGACCATGCTAATAAAGTCATTACAATTTGAAATTTGTAAGTATCGCTTCATTTCAGGTTCTAAGAAATTAAGAACGAAAAGATGCATCAGATACTAAAGTTACAATACGCAGCTACTAGCTATAGCCAATAGCCTTGCTAGTTTAGAAATTAGCGTGTGAAGTATTCTTGTGATAAGAGTGATATCTTACTCGTTCGTTACGCTAACCAGTAGATTACAAATTTCTGCTAATTTAACCCTTATCCTTTGTTTCGACTCTAGACTACCAGCAGTGGTCACTTGGATACAACGTCTAATATTGAAAATGTAGAAAATGTAAGTTTATAATGCAATATTGAATATGTGATACTTCAGTTTTGTCTTTTTTAGTGCTAGGTTTTTCTCCCTCTCCCAAACTGGATTTAGACAGTCGCTATCTAGCATACAAAGAGGCTATTCAAGTAAGACACATTTTCCAATTTTTTTCTTTAATGAATGTAATTAAAATCGGTTTGCGTGTGGCCTCCATCCTTGATTAAATATTCAACAAAGACGAGCTTATAAATAAATTTTATCGCGCATCACGGCTGCTATATGTCGATATTTCAACATAGAAATGGTGGCCACAATCGTGTTTCGCCCCCCTCATTTGCCCCGTGTTTGGCCGAGCGTCACAGGTGTCAAGATCATTTTTATCTTGTTAATTTAGGCCAGCTCACCCATCCTATCTCAGCCGGTGGAGTCTGGACTGATGGGGACATCAGAGAAATGTATGAGATTTTTACACAAGTCAGCAGAGGAACTCAGGCAGTCAGAGGAAGCTGATGCACAACAAGAACAGGAGAGAATAGAGACACAAAATGAGCAACAATTAACAGAAGAGCATCTAGAAGATCTTCGAAAAACCAGAGAGTCACAAGTTCCCAGTGAACCAGATATCGCTGAAGACCATGTCATTTTCTGTGTTCGCCACGTAGACCTTGGTGTGGTTACACATGCCTTTCTACCACAAGAAAAGATAGCTGCCGTCCATGATTGGATTGGATCGCTCCAGAAACAGCCGGAGCACTTTCGTTTCTATCTGCCGAGAGGAAACGTGTTAACAGCTGAGCAGTCCATGGTGTTGGCTAGCCGTTGCACTTTAACCATGGAGGTTTGCGAAGCAGAGACTCCAACAGCAGCTTCCTATCCCTTCGGATCGCCTACAGTACACCATAGCGAATCTTACTCCCCTCAGGAAACAGTATCATCAGGAAGCTCAAATAACCCACCTCAAATACTGATGGAAGGTGATGAAGATGTTAATGAAGAAGATACTCGGGCTGCTCAACTTCTACAGAGCCTGGAACAACGGCGTCAGGAGGCTTTCCAAATGTTCCTCGACGAGAAACATGTCATATTCAGCAAGACCAACTTAGTGCAGCAGCTGTTGGACTTGTACGCAGATGATGGTCTTTCTGGATACAAGATGCGAGTGACTATTGACGAGTACGACACACTGGTGATGGTGTTCTGCGTGAGCTCTTTGCCATGTTCTGGGAGCAATTTCTTCCAGAGAATGGCAGAACATTACACTCTTGCATTGCAATCGTTGTATTCAGATAGCGTTTACGAAGCATTGGGAAGACTAATGGAGAACCAATTCCTGATGTGTGGCACACTTCCATTGAAACTTGTAGAAGCGCTGTTGCATCAACTCGTGGCTGCCAGAGTCGACGAAAATTGCCCGGAAAGATCCCTACTCAGTATGATGACAACCAGAGAACGACGAGTAATCAACGATGCCAATTATGGGAGAAATTTTTGTACAGCTCGAATACTTGAAATTCTTGCCGCATACGGAGTTCAAACATTCCCGCACCCAGACAACATCAAGGCAATTGTTGTGGAAGTTGCAAGAGCCCAGCTGGTTCGAAAACCATTTTATGCATTGACGAGAATGAAAGAAGGTATGTCAGCGACGTTTCGAAGCTTGGTAACAACGGACGACATCGCAGCAATGTATCGCGTCTGTGTACCGACAACAAGAAACATTCTCAACATACTTTATTCAGATCCAAAGGACCCAGAAGAAGCGAAGACTTTTCGTTGGCTATTGCGATACGTCAGTGAGTTAAGTAAAGAGTCAGCCTCGAGTCTTCTACACTTTGCCACTGCCTGCGAGATGATTATTCCAGGTAAGCGTGTAAAAGTGGAATTCGAGACCTGTCCGAAGTAGCTTTCCGACCACATGCACATACCTGCTTCCGGATCCTAGTCCTGCCAAAGAACTATCAGACTTACATGCAACTGAAACGAAACATTGACTGTCATATAATGAAACCCGAACATTGGGATTTGGAAGATTAGAATAATATATTTTTGACAAATGACACTGTTCCGGCTCCTGCTTATGTTCCTATTCCTAATACATTATTTCCTGTCATGTTTCCTGGAGCTGTTACATTCATAAACATATTTTCGTAGTGAATGCATGTGAACTAAAGCATCATTGTTGTCAAGAGACCATATAATCAATAAACGTACTTTATTAGCATATTACATATTCTAAAAACAATTATGATCTTGTATTTATTCGTCACGTCACATGCCTTATAACCATCTTCTATAGCGATTTCTGAATAAATTGGGCGGTATAGTGCATCAACGTCTTGCATGCATATGCATGGCAATACGGGACGTTTTACCCCCAGCCCTCCACGCAGCTTATAGCTAGCAACTTGGTCCAATTATCCGTTCCGTGGCCATGTTCGCTCTGCAATCAATTCAAGTTGTTTCTTCTGACAACCTGGACCGTTCAGCTCAGCCTATAAAAATACGATAGGAACCCTGCCTAGATTAATAACTGACCCTCCGTTATAATTAACTCTATAGAACGTCAATCAAAATAACTTCGTCAGGCAGATGGATTCATAGAGGAACAAAAATTACGGAAAACTTACTAAATCAAGGGGCAATTACATTTTGCATTCATATTGTGCACTGAAGGCTAGTAAGTACGTTTCTGTATATCGGCGGTGTTAAAATTTCTTGTAGGCTCCTGTCAACACATAAGTTTTTCTTCGCATATTGTAATACTCTATATGGGATAAAAAATTAAAAATGTGAAATTTCAAATACATTACTAACAAAAATGATGAACATAATTAAAACTTGCAAAAAACTACATAAAAATTATAAGACATTTATATGGTTACCATGGTTTAACAAGTTCTTGTTTAGTTATGAACTGTAGAAAGCATTTTGAAAGCGTGTTTTAAGTCTTGTACCAAGGATTTTTGCGAGATTTGACTTTTCAGTTACTTTCCACATTTGAAAAAGCAACAACTCGAAAACCACTTAAATCCCAGTTAACCATTTAAATGTCTTGTATGTAGTTTTTTGTAAGCTTTCGATTGATGCAAGTATTTGTATTAGAAATGTATCTGAAATTTCACATTTTTTAACTGTAATAGAGTTTAATACAAAATCTGAAGAAAAACATGTCGGCAACAGTCTACAAGATATTTTAACGCCGCTGACATACAAAAATGTACTTAATTACTAGTCTTCAGGGCACAAAATGAAGGACAAATTGAATTGCCCCTCGATATGGTGCCGAGTTTTTTTCCGCCTTGTATCTGCCTGACTATTGCAGTAAGTTTATATAATAGAAACGACACTTTGTCTTTGACTTTGGGCTGCACATATAGTGTGACACTGCCCCTTTCACCAAAGCATGCATACCAGAATGGCCGAACCAACTTCTTTATCAGTACTTTGAGTGTTGTATCTCCTTAAATTCAATTTCTTGAGAACATATTTTAATTGATCAAGGCTAGAAATGTTAAAATATAATAATTATGTTTGCAGCTACATTATAATATATTAAATGAATATTTAGCTTATATATACAATTCTAAATCTCACTCACATATTAAAGGTTATTTACAACTGGCTACTTAAATCACTGATAATATATACAAATAACTAATATATAACTCTATAGACTATAAGAACAATATATATTTAACTTTTGAATGCTATTATGCTAACCTCCAGGCAATACCGTGGTACAGAAACAATAAATCCAACATCTCCGAATACGACAAATTCCTTTTGAAATACTCTTCAACAATTGAAAAAACTACATTGTAAAGAAATGATTAGTAATAATGTATTTATATATCAATGTGTATCAAAATAATTCGAATCCAAATTTGACAGACTGCTGTTTATAAAATACTAAAGTAAACCATATAATTTTTATATGGCAATAAAGAATAGCCTATTAGGTTTCCGATTATATCGTTCTTATATCAATAAGATCAAAAATGACCAAGAAATCGTGTGTTAAAACTGGTTGCTCGAAATCAAATTTTTCCGCCAATGGGAATTCGAAGTGAGACGTACAAACAAAAGATAATGCAAATTTAATTAATCAACAAACTGTTATGTAGCAAAATTTACATAAATTCGTGTTCATTTAAAGAGATTTAAGCTCCTATGCCTTCAACATGTTGAACGAGAAGAAATTCGCGTTAAATTTGCATTTTAGTTTTCAGCAATGATTAGCATTTCAAAGCCTTGTGGGACTAACTTTGAAAGAAAAAATGTCCAATTCCCATCGGGGGAAAATTGTGATTTTTATGGACTTTTTTTGTCAAAGCAATACTCCTTCATTTTCCAACTAAATGATGCGTACAGCATGTCATTTGAAAGGTAAATAAATTAACTTAACAATGGTGTAAAAACCAACCGAATTTGTCAAATATATTCTGCATTATTACACGCCAAATTTGGATTCGAATTATTTTGATACACACTGTATAATGCCTAATGGCAAGGCAAGAGTATTTAACGATAATAACATTGTAATAAATAAGGTCACTAACCAGAATCATGACCAGAAGTTATTGGATGCTCTGGTAATGCCAGCTGTCCCGGTAGAATTGCTGAAATCCCAGCAAGAACAACGAGAATATTTACTTGTCTGAAATTCCCCATCTTAACAATATCGATTGTGATGAAAACCACACAGAATAATATCAATAAACTAACTAGCTAAGATCTGCTTCCAACCGACAGCATGGAAGTTTGAAATTGTACTCCAATTGCAGCTGCACGAGATATAGAATCAGTTTGAACTAGTCAGTAATAAATTATTCCGTACTACTGAGTTGGTTGAACTGAGTAATAGTGATCTATTACAGAGTTGAACTGAGTAATAGATCGAGTTATATTACCTAGTTGAACTGAGTAATAGAGTTCTATTACCTAGTTGAAATGGGTAATAGCGTTCTATTACTGAGTGGAACTGAGTAATAGTGATCTATTACCGAGTTGAACTGAGTAATAGAGTTATATTACCTAATTGAACTGAGTAGTAGCATTCTATTACCTGGTTCAAATGAGCAATAGCATTCTATTACCTAGTTGAACTGAGTAATAGCATTCTATTACCTAGTTGAACTGAGTAATAGCATTCTATTACCGAGTTGAACTGAGTAATAGTGTTCTATTACCGAGTTGAACTGAGTAATAGGGTTCTATTATTGAGTTGAAGCTAGTAATAGTGTTCTATTACCGATTTAAAGTGAGTAATAGCATTCTATTACCGAGTTGAAGTAAGTAATAGTGTTCTATTACCGGGTTGAAGTAAGTAATAGTGTTCTATTACCGATTTGAAGTGAGTAATAGCGTTCTATTACCGAGTTGAACCGAGTAATAGCGTTCTATTATCTAGTTGAAATGGGTAATAGCGATCTATTACCTAGTTGAAATGGGTAATAGCGATCTGTTACCGAGTTGAACTGTGTAATAGTGTTCTCTTACCGAATTGAACTGAGTAATAGTGTTCTATTACCGAGTTGAAGCTAGTAATAGTGTTCTATTACCAAGTTGAAGTGAGCAATAGCGTTCTATTACCGAGTTGAACTAAGTAATAGCGTTCCATTACCTAGTTGAACTGAGTAATGGCGATCTATTGCCCAGTTAACTGAGTAATAAGTGTTTTTACAAGACTGTAGTTCGTCCATGGCGGTAATATGCCTTGTAGGTAATAGGTAATACACTTCTGGGCTTCCGTAAGAAACATTAGTGGCTAGCCTGCATGCACACTATATTATGACATATATATGTCATTATATAGTTTGTGTGCAGGGTAGTTAGTGGCTTACTTCTTCGCTGGTTGTTATACTTTAAAATAATTTTGTATATACCGATAAATCAATATTCAGAGTATATAATAATATAAATATATAAACTGGGATGTCACACTGATAGCTTGTTTACATTTCCTGGAGTGTCGAATCTTATGTTTAACCACAGTGGTTTAACCCATTAGCTGGCAATGTGCCCTTCCCTTGTCCAGCACCAGAAGATTTTATTTGTCAGTGGCATAGGGTACTGCCAGTAAATGGGTTAAGTTAACAAACCTATCTGCCTGCAATGTCTCTTGTTAATCCATCAGCACAGTATAATGACCCCTATTTTAGTATTTACCCTGTCCAACTCCAGACGATTTTTAATACTCAGTCAGTGGTAGGGTACTGTCAATAAATGGGTTAACAAGGATAACAAGAATAGGATGTTTCTGAAGGACTCGTTCAACACCCTGTAGTTTGCCTTTTGCTGTCAAAGGCAGCATTACTACCCTGTGGGTAACCTAGTTTTAATATCAATTTCAGTTAGTTGCTTTTTATTGTGTGCTCTGAAAAGGATCAATTTTGTTTTAGTTGTATTTATTGAGAGTTTATTTGTGTTTAACCATTTAAGTATTTCATTCATCTCTTTTTGCACTGTTCCTTTTGCTATATTAATGCTGGAATTAGAATAGAATGCGTTTGTATCATCTGCAAACAGGACAAATGAAATGTCACTGCAGTTTTGTATGTCATTTATGTATAGTAAAAAAAGTAATGGCCCAAGAACAGATCCTTGGGTAACACCAGTTGTAATTTTAATTTCTTTAGAATTTTCCTCTTTGAATTTCACAATATTCATTAAATAGTTTTTGAACCACGTTAAAAGCAAGCCCTCTTACTCCATAATGCTCCATCTTTTTTAATAAAATATCATGATCGACGGTGTCAAAAGCTTTTGATAGGTCAAGAAAAATTCCTATTGTATATTTACCTTCATCAATTGCTTTGGTAATTTTGCTAACAAGATTTACAATTGCTATTTCTGTTGATTTATTACACCTAAAACCATATTGGTTTTCTGTTAGTATTTTGTTTTTCTCAATAAAACTAATTAGTCTTTTGTACATAAGTTTCTCTAATAGTTTAGAGAAACACGTCAGGACGGAAATAGGTCTGTAATTTTCAAATATTTGTTTATCACCCGCTTTAAAAATAGGAGTAACCAGGGCCAACTTTAACTGCTCAGGGATAAAACCTGTTGCAAAACTAAAGTTGAATATATGGGTAAGTGGTTGACTAATGTCTGTTGCGACAGTTTTAATGATTTTGGCATTGATTTCGTCATACCCAGGGCTTTTATTGTCTTTCATTTTAAGTACTTCACTTATCATTTTGTTTTCAGTTTTTGGAATTTAGAAACATGCATACTGTTCATGAGGTTTCCCATACGATATTTTTTAATTGAAGTCTCCAAATTTCCATTTATTTTGCTGGCCAATGGACCATTTGCATTATAGACTAAATTTTGATCTAGACAAAAATTTCATAACAACTTGAAAGAACATCACAAAATTAGTAATATTCCAAAGTTTCGTTGCGAAATGTTGTAAAATGCGGATAATATAGCCTTGCGAAGTTTGCAATTTTCAGTCATTTTGTATTACAAACGGGAAATTGATGCCCCAACACCCGATTGGGCTGTCAATTTCCTGTGCGTAATACAAAATGACTGAAAAAAAGAAAATTTCGCAAGGCTATATTATCCGCATTTTACAACATTTCGCAACATGGAATATTACTAATTTTGTGATGCTCTTTCAAGCTGTGAAATTTTTGTCTAGATCAAAATTTAGTCTATAATGCAAATGTCCATTGTGGTGTCCAATATTTATAAAATATTCATTAAATTTATCAGCGATTTTTGAAGGCTTTGTTATTGATTCGCCTGAGTTTTTTGCAATTAATTTGTTAGGTAATTCTTTAGTTTTTACATTTTTATTTAATAGTGTATTAATAGTACGTCTTCCATGTCATTTTAGTATTGGTTTTATATTTTATGAATAATTCTTCATAGTGTAGTTTTTTTGCAAATTTAATTACATGTTTCAACTTATTTTTAAATCTTTTATAATTTTTTTCATTTCGTTCAGTAGGATTTTTTTTTAATTTCTTATAAAGTGAGTTTATCAAGTTTGTAAACTGTATCAATTTTTTTCTGATTAATTTTCTTAAGTGGAAAACTAGCGTCATAATTATCTTTAAATATATTAAGGAAATTGTCAAATGAAACTCCAGCATTAGAGTTTGATAGTACATTTTCCCAAGATATAGATTTAATTCTATCCGCAAATTTTAATTGGTTAGCTCTATTTATCATTCTCCTATATTTTATGTTAGTGCTTTTTCTATTTTTAGGCCGTCACATATCTGCTATCTTTCAAGTCTGTTGCACATGTCGCGAGGCTAAAAAATTCTGCCATAACACAATGCATATTAGTCCCCTTGTTCATGAAATACAAAGCCCCCGTTCACTAGTGTGCACAATAGGTAGAAAATAGACTTGAAACTTTGATAATATTCGATCAATGTTTCGTTTACGCCATCTTGAAATCGCGCGTGTTTCCATGGCAACATAGCTGCCACGCGCGGATAAAAGCAATATGCCGGCTGAAACAAGTTGGTCACTCAAACATTTAAAATTGAATAAATGTTGTATTCATTTTGAGGATGTTTCACAATCACTTCTCAAGGTCTCAGAGAAGCGTCTGAAGAGATTTGTTGCTTGTCGTGAGAAATTGGCGAAGCTCAAAGACCAGAAATCTGTCACAATTCAAGACAAAGGCTTTGTTTACATGTCGGTATCCAAAACATTGAATTTCATTTGACAACTATTTATATTTTCATGATTCTAGAGTATAATAAATTATCAAGACACAACAATTACGCTTTTACTGTTTGTATAATAAAAAGATGGCTCCTTTGTTCACATGCGCAGATCGAACTGTACCGCATCTTTAATGTCCAGACCCCCTCCCCCGTACTCTTTGGATGAATTTTTCTGAAAGGTGACCCCAAAGTCGTTTCTGTGCGGTTAAGCCTGTCGGCATACTTTGACGTTTTTTTATTGTTTGAGGGTAAGGAAAAATTTACAAATATCTGAGGGGGTTTTGTGTCAGGCTGTCAGCACCTGAGCCTCAGTTGTATAGGGTCAGAAAATTTGCAACAGGTGGCCCCCAAAAGCAGGAATTGGTTAAATTGTGAAATTCGGACCCCCTTTATAGTAGACATAGACAGGGAAAAATTTGTTATTTTTAAGGAATTTGAATTTTGAAAAGGCCCCACTTAAAAAATTAAATGGGGGCCTCAGGAGGCACTGGGAACTCGACTGGCATTACCATGAGAACTGCTACAAAAGACTTTGTGATTAAAACAAGTTGCAAAAAAGTGGAGGAAAAGGAACCATGAGGCAGTGAAATCTTAATTGGCTGCGAAGTTTAAGACTGTTCCACCAAAGAAGCTTTTACACTTGACAATGATGGTCCCCAAAATAGTGAAATGAAAGCTAGATCACTAAATGTTTTGCCCCCAGTATGCATAATATGCGAGAAACAATCCGATTTGTTTGTCATGGTATGTCTTATATTGTAATTATATGGTATATTTATCATTAAATGAAATCATTATACAGTTGCTAGTAAATGGTACAGCAATCACGTAGCAAAATAATCACCTGAATAGTATTTATTCCAAAATTATTACCTGTGAAGAATAACCCTTGTTGCATGTGAGACTTCAGATGCAGGTCTATTGCGCGAAGCTGGCACAAAGAAAAAGGACAACTACAGGATCTTATTAAAAATTGTGGAAAAGATTGTGTTGCCATTGAGGTTAAGTACCATAATAAGTGATACAAGAATTATACTAACTATTTGTATGGACAGGATAAGACATCATGTGAAACAATTTCAATGATTTTGTACAACATGGGATATGATGATAATCACAGTGCTACAGTCCATATCTGTATCATGCTTCTATATTGCTTAAGAAAAAGCTGGCCACTGTGAAGTGGCTTATGGACCCTTGGCTGCCTGTAGCTGAATGAATAACTTTACTAAACGAATTTCTTGTAAAGAAGTTATTCTACAGAGTGGAATTAATAGCAGATTTTCGATGTTCAGTGATATTGCCTGTTGAGTAATGTGCCTGTTAAGTAATAATAAGTCACGGCTTGCTTGTGTGCAGCGTGCATTGGTAAAATTTGGCCATGTAATATCAGAACTACTCCAAAAGAATTGTCTGATCATGGTGAAATTAGTTAGTCTGGCAACATGTGCAACAGATTTCATCTTCTAGGTTTCTTTCAAAGGCTTTAGATGACAGGTAAAAAATTTGAATTTTTTAGTCGCATTTTAGTTTTCTGACTTGCATAACCACTTTAATTCACACACTATGGTGCACAATTTAAGGTACTAGTGCAAAATAAGCCCTTTCCCTGCATACAGTCTGTCAATATAAGCTTTACTGGAGAAACAAAAATGCTGACTCAGCATTTTTAAAAAACTTTGGAACGTGATATCTCGGTAATGAATGACTGAAAGTTTTCAGTGTAATATAATTTTTTTGTCCAATTATGCACCTCAATCTGATGGCATTAAAAATTTGTCGAAATTCGAAAATTTTTACCTTTCGGAACTATAGATGACGTCATCACCAGAATATAGTCGATTTCTCGTTATTGTGCACACTTATGAATGGGGGCTTTTTTTATTATTTCATTTGGCATGCTCCTCTACTACTTTATGAAAGAAATCATTAGCCTCCCGATGTGTGCAACGAAAGTCACTTTCTAGGCATATTTTTAGCCTTATGTGACGGCCTTTGGTATTTTCTTTCTTTACTCCACATATATGAAATATAGGTAGATGATCTGAGATGTCACTAAAAATTAAACCATTTTGACTGTAATTAATTTTCTGTAGGTCATTCGAAAATATATTATCAATTAGAGTAGCAGTGTGTTGAATAATTCTTGTAGGCATTGTATTAAGGGAAAATAGAACAATGTAAATAGATTTTGTGTAAGTCTATTTGCAAAATCACACGTTTCATTTTTTAGCATATCAACGTTAAAGTCACCCATGAGATAGCACGTTTTATTCTCTTTGTCAATTTTGGACAATGTTTCATTCAGTGTTCTTTCAAACTCATTAATAAAATGGTCTATAAATCACCCCAACAATAATATTTTTACTAACTTTTGTGGGTATTTCAATAAACACAGACTCAATTATGTCTTCTTTAGTGGCATTCAGATCATTCCTAGTCTTGTGGAATATAAATACCCACTCCACCACCTTTTTTAAGTTTTCTGTTTACATTCACAAAATCATAGTTTTTTAATGAGAAATTATCTTGATTATCATCATGAAGCCATGTCTCAGTTAATACAATAACTGAAAAATTAGTATTCAAAGATCCCAGCATGTGATTGAACTTTAACATGTGATCAAATTTATTTGATATGCTTCTTATGTTTAAGTGCATTAATTTTAAATTATCCTCAATATTTTTTCCAGCAAATCTTTCTGCAAATTCGTTTGGTAAGAAATAGTTGCAGTCAATGTTTTCATTATCTACCAAGTCGCCAAGGTTCGACTCATTTCTTTTTAATAGACTTGCAGCGTCTGCGAGTCTGAAGTCACTAAACGGATTAAATTTCAGTCCTTCTAGTCTATCCCTTTCTCTTTCGCTTATATGTCTGTTGTTTTTAACAGTAAACTCATAGTCTTCATCATTTAGTGATTGGAACGGCAACGATTCATTAAAACATATATGACATATTTAAATTTCCTTGAATTCCTTTTCCATAGGCAAAGTGTGTTTTGGTGCAATTCTGAGATGCATGGAGCCATTTTTGACATGTGGTACATTTGAGATATCTACTGTGCGCTTCAATTGACTTACAGCAAGAACGGCATTTCTTTATATTATTTCTTGAGCTAGCCATGAATAAAGTTGTACATTTTGATCACATTTCTGGTGATGCATAAACTCAAGGTGTATTAATTGAGTGAACAAAAATTGCACTTTGCGTGACCTGCATGTTGTGTGACCACCAAATACGTTGATAATCAAAAAATAGCATGTTGCGCAAACTGCTTGTAAGTGTATATGAGTACTGAAATTCATGTTTGTGAAATAGCATTTCTAATATAGTTAAAATATTCATAGAGAAAGGAAATTTACAATGAGGCCTATCAATGTACAGTTTGTCACGAGCCAATCTCACATGCTTACCGGCTTGTCTCGCTTCCTTCATGACGGGGTACAATTTCTTTCTCTCGCGCTCGATTTCTTTGGGAAATTG